CGAAACGGGCCGTTCTGGTTGCATTTTCGGTGTGTTAATTTTGCACCTGGAACGGGCCGTTCCGGATGCAAAGTTAACACACCAAAATGCACCTAGAACGGCCCGTTCCGGTTTCAGAACGGGCCGTTCTGGGTCCAGGTGTTTTCAAAAAAATTCTCATCCACGTAGCATCCATGTATGCATCTACGTGGCGTCCACGTGGCCGAAAGTTAACACCGTTAAAGCAATTTGGACGGAAGTCCCACATTGAAACCAATTAATTAATTTGGGACTAAATTGAAACACATTAATTAGTTTGGGACCAAATTGAGACCTTAAATAAAAGTTGGACTACATTGAAATAAAAAAAGATTATAAGGGACCAAAATAGGTTTTTAGTGTAAAATAAATAAATAAACATGCACAAGTTGTTAGCTTCATCTCAAAAAAAATAAGACAACTCATACGGTAAAAAAAAATCAAATTCAAGGTAAATGGTGCAAAGTCATTCTCCTACGTACTAGTTGTTCTTATTTGTCAACCCCTATTAAAATCACATGGATCATAAATGCTGTTTTCAACATAATTGGTGAGGCTCTCGACCATCTATCTTAATTCTCAGCTCTGGACAATTTATCATGTTAGAACTCCAATGCAGTTCCTTAATTTGTCGGTCGTGACCAAGGAACTTGGGCAGGGGAAGAGAGCATACAATACTTTTTTTCCACATCTGATTTCCCATCACAAGATTTTGTATGATTGACTCCAGAGGTTGCTATTCATTTTTTTGCTTTATGTACTGAATACTCTGAATGTCATACACCCAAAGTAGGGAATGGAAGACAATCAGATTCCAATTTTATACAATTTCAATACTCTATAGTCTATACACAATTATCCCCCTCCAAAGTGAAATTAATTTCGTCTTTACAATGTAATGCTCTCTTCCCTATTAAAGCTGGACACATTTCCGAATGAATGTCTTTATACTTTGGGGCAGAACTATTAAGTTGAAACAGTAAGGTTGACAGGATCTATCCGTAATTTTGAGCATTTGGTAAAACCCAACTGGTTTGGCAGCATCATAATCACAGATCACGTCCTTGATTCTCACTGTTTAGTGTGTATCAAATTGATAGGTACTATCAATAATGGGAATTCACAGGTGGATCAGCAAGAGAGGCATGCTGTGTCACTTGTGAAACTCTTAGTGTTCCTCCAAGCTCAATGGGAACAAGAGGGACAAGTGAGTGAAGAACATCTGTGATCAGTGGACGGTAACTTGGCTCAGGTTGCACGCACAACACAGCTACAGCAGCAACCTTAAAAATACAAAGCCAAACATTTGCTTAGTTCGAAAGTTACTACCTAATACTAGCAGCATCATTGCTATATAAAAGTGGGAAATATGTCCCGAGTTTTCACACACCTGGTATAAGTGCTTTGGATCCATTGTATTCTTAATCACTGGATCCACAATGTTCGGAAGTTTGGACCTGTCCGTGAGCTGTGGCATGGCCTGCAATCATAAATAGTTATGTTAGGTTGTTTCCATACCTACGTTATGGATGAAACCCAATTGAATTTGACTACATGAAAACAAAAGTAGCCCATACCCATGTGACAATAGATTGGCATTGAGCTGGTGCCAGTTTCTCCACTGGCTTCCTTCCTAATAGGAGCTCCAATAGCACAACCCCAAAAGCATACACATCACTTTTGTCACTTAATTTACCTGAAAAATAATTCAATTGCAACATTTTTAATATTATCTCTTCTAGAAGTCTTCGTACAGATGAGTTTCACGTTGGCACATGAACTTTGTTTTCCTATGAATCCAAGCCATTTCTCTATGATAATATTAAAAATTTATTGGTGAAGTGATCCACATATCATCCATGTCCCCTGGAATAAGATCTACTTCAATTGAAATGGATTCAGTTCCCCCTCGATAGTTAAAAACCTTCAAATGTTTCCCATTTTTCGGACATTCCACCTCTAAAGTGAGAAGGGTACGTTTTAGAAGAGATAGATAATACCAACAACCTTTGATCAAAAAATTAAAAAATTAACTACAAAATTTGTTATGTGAGTATTTATTTTTCTTATCACAGTCAATCAAAATAACGTATAAATGTGACATGTCAATTAAAACAAGATATAAGTGAATAATATGAACAAGATGCACAGGTCATATATTTGAAACCCACCCTAAACTCGTGACGTCATTGAAATCAAAGAGGGCTAAAAAAATAATTTAATTTCTTGATCTGGTTTGCTAAAAGCTTAACAATATTATTAAACATATAGTAGCAACCTGTCAGAGCAATGCATATGGCGTATAATGATAACAAGTTTAGTTGGCAATTTGGCATACCATCTAGAAGATACTCCGGGGCTACGTATCCCAAGGTACCCGATAGTTTAATGTTCTTCTTGCTTTGGGACCCATCAGTTAAGGCAAGACCAAAATCAGACAGCTGAATCCACCACCAAAAGTACGTGGATGCCAACACATGAGAAGCTTAGGTGAATACATTAAAGATGAAAGGAAATCGTATTAATAGAAAAGGGAAATAACTTTTATGACAATGCTAATTTAATTTTCTTACCTTGGCATTGAAGTTTGCATCTAAGAGAATATTAGAAGATTTCATGTCTCTGTGGATCACTGCAGGGTAACAGTTCTCATGCAGATATTCTAATCCTCTGTCAGCATACCAGAACTATGTTAACATAATTGCAACACAACACATCAAAAGGATAAAAGAACTTGCTAAGGAAACTCACCTTGCTGTGTCAAGAGCAATCTTCATCCTCATGTGCCAAGTCAATGCCGAACCATGAGAAGGTCCTTCAACATAAGATTTTGGAAAAGAAACTTCGTGATTGAGAATAAGGCATTGCTTGTTAACATTTTCTAACATTTGTTTGTTTTTTAGTACATTTGGAAGTGTTTGTCTAATTAATAAACCTGTTTCTGTTTTTAGTAACTTTGTCTTCTTGGTACTTGAACAAAACACAGAAAGGAAACAAAGAGAAGAGGATATAAGCATCTACTTGTTTCTGTTTTTGTTTTTTCAGAACACTTGTTTTGAAAGTAATTTTTAAAAATTTAATAATTATTTTACGAGAGTGAAATTGTTTGAGAAAGCAAATTAAGGTTGAGACACAATATTTTACCATGTAAAAGGGCCTCCAATGATCCATTTTGCATCAATTCATAGACAATAAACCTCGTGTCACCATCAATGCTACAACCCAGTAAGGAAATTATATTCGGATGTTGAATTTTACTCAGCAAATTCACCTCGTTCTGCAAATTCATCACAACATTCAATCCAAAACAGAAAGAAAAAAAAAACATGACAACAGAAAAGCAACAAATAAATAAGTAATCTCACAATCTGTAATGATTACCTCAAATTCTCTCTCAGCATTTTGAGTCTCACAGTGTAGTCTCTTGACGGCAACATCCAAGTTATGATCCAAGCGAGCCTTGTAAACACGTCCAAAACCGCCCTCACCTAAGACGTTACTTTCCTGAAAATTATTGGTCGTTTTTTCTATTTGCTTATAATCGATTATTGGAACAGACCCCTTCATGCCAACAACCTTGATGGAACTGAATTTACTCGGAATCGGTGCTAAGGTTAGCCCCTTCTCGGCATCTTGGTAGAACAAAAAAAAAAGAATCAAACTCAGGAATCTAGAAACAATTTGGTATTAAATCTGTTTCATGAAAAATAATAAATACCTGGACTTTGAACATTTTTGGTTTTGGATTTTGTTGTGTACTTGGTACAATAAATCCAAAGGCATAAGGAAGTGAAAATGAGTGCTGTGGTAGCTACGATGAGAGCAATTACCACTTTCTTATTCAGGTGATGCTGCTCCTTCCCTGCTCCAATACCTGATAACTAATAATGGATTAGGAGTCTAACTCAACCTTAGATACAACAACAATATAATCACTAGAAGTCTAGAATACATTCTAAGAAATTGAATTGTGATCTTAATTCAAACTTACAAAGTAAGTTTACAAGGTGAGGATCGTTACACTATTATAATGTTAGAATCTCCAACACTAAAGTTGTGAGAATTCAAAAAGAAAAGAATCATAGGTAAAAGTAATAATTTAGATGAGGATCCAAATTATTAATGAGTGTTGAGTACCTGGAGAGGGAGCAAGAGGGTCTGCAGCAACGTGGTGAAGAAGAATAAGAAGCATAAAAAGAAGGTTGATTTTCATTGTTTGTTGTGAGAATACATGAAGATAGAGATATGTGGAGGCAGAAGCAGACAGGGAGAGAGTGTGAAGAATGTTAATGGGTGTTTTGTTCTGGATCTCCAAGGTTTGGCTTGAAGTGCTTTTTGGTTTTTCAAAAAGAATTCACTTTTTTCTTTGTTACCTTTTGAATCTTCTTTTGAGAGCTCACTTTGTCTCTCTCTTTTGGTTGATTGATAATTTGGATATATCGCTTTCTGTGCAGAAGAAAAAAGAAGACAGTGAGTGGGGAGAGGAAATTTAATGTTGAGGTGAAGCGGCAAGCACACCACCAACATGTGTACTTGTTCTTGTCAACTGCTGCAATGCAAACATAAACCAAATTTAATTGTTTTTTTTGTTTCTTAGTACAAGGCTGATGCACCGCTGGGGGTACTTAGCGGTTCCAAAATTATGATCACCAAACAGCTACGCCTTCTTAATCATTGTTTTGAACATGACACCTTTTCGACTTTGTCTTCCTGGCCTAATAATCATCATTGCATGCATTTTTTTTTTCTTCTGTAAAAATATATATGAAAAGATGTAGTAGAATTCCCATTTCTTGTATTGGAATAAAATTTAGTTGAAGAACTTAAATCTGATATGGTATTGTAGATCCAAAAATGAGTTCTTACCAATGGTTGGAAAACTTCTAGCCGGTCCTATAATGTAACTTTTTCCTTCAATTTTTATTGGTGCCTTTTTTATCTGTTGACTGAATAATTTGGGTTCATATTATATACAATGGGACTTGTACGACATTTTATTAGTAAAATAGTACAAACAATGTCGCCAGCAACAATTGCATTCACTTGTGGAAGTCAATTGCGGGGAATTCTTGCTATCTAAATATTAAAAGAAAGAAAAAGAGAAATCCTTTCATTTGGTTGGAAGCTGCAGTTGAACTGTTTATACTCACATGCGTCACTGTACCAATAATCCATGCTCCGGAGTTCACATTTGCTTTTTGGTGCAACTCTACATTAGTATTGTAAAAGTCTCCAAAACTTAATTTTCTAAATCTTTTTGTAGAAAGAAAAAAATTAGAATTTTGAATAAATGTCTGTTTAACATTATGTAATTAACCAATTTTTTTTTTCCATTTACCATTGACCCACAAGCAATAATATGCATACACTGATGATATAGTGTCACTTGAGTTCAAAGTTAGAGGAAACAGAGGAGAATTATTTGGCTGCTAAACTTCAAGAGGGAGTGATAGGTTTAGGACTTTTGGGTTGGAAATTGAAACATCGACAGAAAAATAACACATTTCACATGTTAGGTACAGGATGTGTTTGAACTTTGTTAACGAACCACGTTAGTCAAATTATTTTAGGACTCATTTGTTTTAGATTTTATTGTTTTATTAGTTTAATATAAATTTAATTTATGATTACTTTTATATTATGGCATGTATTTTTATGAAAAAAATTGTAAAATTATATTTTTCTAATGCTATAACAGACAAGATTTTATGTAATTTATTTATACATTTTCCCCCAAAAAAAATGAAAAAAAAAATCATTATTATGAATGAACGTGATTTTCAACTTGGCATGGTGATAGGAAAGGCCCAGGTAGCTAATGTGTCATAATCGAATAAATGATACGTGTCAAATGTTGACAAAAAATTATATGTCCAGGGTGGTGTTTGGTTTATCTACCTTTTAATTTCCTTTTCAGTAAAAAATTTAAAAATATATATATATATATAATAGGAAATGAGTTTAATTAGTTTTTACAAAATGTAATAATAATTAGAATGCACAGTTAATATAATTCTTTTACACGGTTAACTAATAATAGATTATTATGTATATGATAAAATTATGATTTTTACGATAATTACTTTAAAGTCATATTTAAATTTAGTTTTTATGAGTTGACAGTTTAATTTTATTTATTCTAATGAAACATTAAAAAAATGTTTCAAAGAAATCGTTTTAAAAAAATGGAGCTAAAATAAAAATAAAGTGTTTTTTCGATCTTTTTGTTGGAATTTTTTTAAATAAAAACCAATGAATGTGATAGCAAACTTGAAATATTATCAAATGTTGGAAATTTTATTTTAATTTTTAATATTTTATTATTTTCATTCTCTGTGTGAAAGCAAAAAAATAAAAATAATCGTAAGTCTATTATTCATTAAAGACTCTGAAATTTACAATGTATCCGATTATTAAAAATAGGAAAAATACTTAAACCCATAGCCGATTTTTTATATAAGTGTTTTTTAACATTCGTTATTGAATCTTTGAGATGATTAATTGTGATAACAACCAATAACGAGCAATGACTTTATGATTTTTTCTTAATTAAATTTTTTGAATTCTCACATGTAACCTTAAGATTTTTTAAATGGAAAGAAAAAAGTATGTGTTTAATATCTCATTTATTATTTGGGACTATAGACTTTTTATAATGTATTAAAGTAAAAAAAAAAAATTATCTTTTAACAAATCAACACTAATATTTGATTTAAATTCATGTCATATAATTTAATAGTTTAATAAGTTCACTTAATTTGATCATATAAAATAAAGTCTATTATTGATAAATAATTAACACACTTATTTTATAATATTGGTTCATAATAAGTATTTTTTTAAGATAAATGTTAGTAATTAGTATACTATATAAAATTCAAACTCACAATAATTAGTAGTTATTCTAAAAAAAATGTTGGTAACTATCAACTTCATGATTTATCTTTTATTTATTTTAATTTATTTAAAAAATTAAAAAGGTACGAAGTGCCTTTTTTTCTATTCTATATTTAAATTGAATATTGTAGAAAGAATTAGAATGGTTTGATTTGGGTGGTGTGCGTGTATGATGGATAATTATAAGAGGACCTCATGTTTGTCTTCATTAGTCGCTTAATTAACGGGAGAATAAGACTCGTATGCTTGTGGTTGTGGTCTTATTCAAAAGAAATGAAGTGAACGAGATTAAAGCAAGGAAATGAGGTTTAACTATCTCGAAAACGATTTAGACCATAAATGTGACACGTATTGAATTCAAATAAATATTAATGAGATGATTTGAAAAACTATTATAAATGCCTATGATAGTGACATTGTAATTTTGATGAATAAAATAAAATACTGAGTCATAAAGGGAAAGAAAATGCCTATGATAGTGACATTGTAATTTTGATGAATAAAATAAAATACTGAGTCATAAAGTGAAAGAGGAACGTAAATGATAGATATTTTTAGGTACTATGTTTTTTTTTATAGTAACTTGAGCTCGTTTTACACTCGTGTGACCGGCATGTGATTTCAGACTTTCGATCAATAATAATAATACACTAAATAGAGTAATAAAAATATAATGTGAAAAAATGCATTACTTATTTCTTCTAATTTGTATACCAAAATTAATATTCCAAATATGTAAGATCTTCTCTTTCATTAAGTTGATATAGAATGTGTAACACTCTAAGTTATGATAGTATTATATTATTTTTAATTATTTTTATACTAACTACACTAGTTAACTAAGAGAAACTATTAAAATGGATAATAAAAAATACATATATGTATATAAGAGTAATAATAAAATCATACCACTATGTATAAAGTGGAATACTATGTAAATATAGTCATCCAAAATAACAATATTCTCCTAGTGTCGATCAAACACATCCTACTAGTTACCCGAGACAATAATCCTAACATTATGACAAAACTCTAGCATCCAACAACAACCATAACACCCAACTCCAACTTAACCCTGACCTGTTCCTATATATAGTATGATTATTGCATTTCATCCACATAGAAACAAAAAGGGTAAGCTAAAGTTCAATAAACAATCATGCAGGCATAAGAATAAACATACATGTTACACCATCATCAAATCACCAATCATTCTCATAGAGTCACACCATACACTCTATCATACACTAATCATGCTGTAAATGTTACTTATGACAGATATCAATGCATATCAATCATCTAATGCGTCATTACGTATTCACGTATGAGATATTCGTAACAACAGAGTAATATAAGTGACATCTTATCCTACCAAAATCACCCCCAACCACTTTTATGCTAGAATTACTATTGCGAAAAATTCTTTCCAGAATATTAACAGTGTGTGTATTTGTTACCATAATTCCGGAAAAAACTTTTCGCAATAGTAATTTTAGTGTTACGGAAAGTACTTTCCAGAATTATTTCGACGGAAAGTTATTTCCGGAATAGTAATTTTAGTATTCCGGAAAGAACTTTCCATAATTATGTACAAATACACCTCCGAAAAAAAATTTCCAGGATAATTTTTTTTTTCAAATAATATTAAAGATAACTTAGGAATTTAATATATTTTTTTTAAAAAAAGGGTGTGTATAAAAAAATGGAGGTATATATATCATCAGTCATATACTATTGCTTATAGATGGCCCATAGTTTAAGGCCTGGCTTTGAGGAAAAAAAAAACATCACGGTATTTGGGCCTTGGACCCTTAGTCGAACAGCCACTGGCAGCCATTGTTTTCAATAATCCTAACATTATGACAAAACTCTAGCATCCAACAACAACCATAACACCCAACTCCAACTTAACCCTGACCTGTTCCTATATATAGTATGATTATTGCATTTCATCCACATAGAAACAAAAAGGGTAAGCTAAAGTTCAATAAACAATCATGCAGGCATAAGAATAAACATACATGTTACACCATCATCAAATCACCAATCATTCTCATAGAGTCACACCATACACTCTATCATACACTAATCATGCTGTAAATGTTACTTATGACAGATATCAATGCATATCAATCATCTAATGCGTCATTACGTATTCACGTATGAGATATTCGTAACAACAGAGTAATATAAGTGACATCTTATCCTACCAAAATCACCCCCAACCACTTTTATGCTAGAATTACTATTGCGAAAAATTCTTTCCAGAATATTAACAGTGTGTGTATTTGTTACCATAATTCCGGAAAAAACTTTTCGCAATAGTAATTTTAGTGTTACGGAAAGTACTTTCCAGAATTATTTCGACGGAAAGTTATTTCCGGAATAGTAATTTTAGTATTCCGGAAAGAACTTTCCATAATTATGTACAAATACACCTCCGAAAAAAAATTTCCAGGATAATTTTTTTTTTCAAATAATATTAAAGATAACTTAGGAATTTAATATATTTTTTTTAAAAAAAGGGTGTGTATAAAAAAATGGAGGTATATATATCATCAGTCATATACTATTGCTTATAGATGGCCCATAGTTTAAGGCCTGGCTTTGAGGAAAAAAAAAACATCACGGTATTTGGGCCTTGGACCCTTAGTCGAACAGCCACTGGCAGCCATTGTTTTGATCGAAATTTTGTTCAGAAAAAATCAAACAAAAAAAAAAGAAGTATCTGTAACGCTGCTAGCATCAATGTTATATTGTGACCTAAAAATTAAAATTTAAATCAATACTATAAATAAAAGAGGTAATTTTTTAGTGTATGTAATTTTTTTTACTAAATTACCTCATACTTGTCTCTCAATCATTTTTCTTTTATTATATTTATTTATTTATCAACTTCAACGACATTTAATTTTTAAAATTTTTATTCTTCAAATAACTATTCATTATTTTTACAAAAATTTAAATAAAGAAAAATAGAATGTCTCTTTTACTTTAGTATTTTATAAAGTTTATATGAAAATACTCGCTATCAATTAAATGTTCTAGCAACTAAAAAGGAAAAAAATGTTTGATATTATTGAAAAAATATTTTTTCATTAGTTGCGAAAATTATGCGCTAAATGCATATTTGAGGAAACGAGATAATTAATAATAATATTTGAAGGAGAAGAGAGGAGAAGAGTTTTTTTCTTTTTCCCGTAAGAATAGCTTCTTTTTATTATTGGTACGAATATTTACTTTTATAATTTTTCTTAAAAATAAAATAAATCTAAAATTAAATAATTATAAACATATATTTATATTAAAAATAAATTTATAATATATATATATATATTTATACTGAAATAAATAATGATGACATATATATTTAGTGTAAAAATAAATTAAATTAAATTACTTTTATATATAATTTATATTATACAAATTTATAAGATTTGAAATGATTTCATAAGATTTCAAAGAATAGTATAGATTTTAAAAAAATAATATAATTAATAAAAAAATGATAAGGTTTAAATAGAAAAAAATTAATATAATTTTCAATTTTCTAATAAACAATTAGAATATTTATTAAATAACATTTTTAAATTAGATCAGGTGGACAAATAAAAATTAGGTAGAAAAAATATCATGTCAGGTTGAATGTTTTTTTTCCTTTGAGTTAAATGTAAAATTATTATAAATAAACAACTATTTTCAAGTTATACATACATACATATATATACATGCACATATTAATTTAATTATATTCAATTTGATATTACATCTATCTATAAATTTATAATAAATAAATTAATAATATCTTTTTTCTAAATATTTCTTCATTCTAATAATTCCCTCCTATATATAATACTGCTATGTATTAAATAAACTGCTACTAAAAATAATTAAAAAAAATACATATCAAGATAAAAGAAAAAATTAGATAAAAATATTTTAATAATTACTAGCCATTATAATATTTTTGCAAAATTCAACTGTTATACATTATAAAGATTACACCAATCTCTTTAATAACTCCTTAAATATTTTTATATGTAAATATTATTCTAAAAAAATTGTTACAATATATATATATATCCACGTTAATATTATTATATTGAATTATATAATTATAAAATCTAATTTGGTGTTATCTGCTCACAACCTGCAATAATTATATTATATTTCTAATAACTAAAAGTGGTTGGGAGAGTATCAAATGCTCTGCTGTATAGTTAAAATAAAAATTCAGTGTATTAACGTGGATGCCTTTCTCCAATGAATGAAATCTCTCATTTTTCAACTGAAAAAGGGAAAAACAAAATAATTATCTTTACAATTTGGTCAAAAAGTGAACGTATTTTTATAGATGCAATGGGGGCATCAGCACTGCTTAGCATATTCTTGCCACCATATATAGAAATTTCGCTTAAAGTTGTTTTTCTGTGCTCCACCTAAATTCTCATTAGAGTTTAAAGTCAAATGAGTTGAGTGGAGTGAAAATTAAGATTAATTTAATATATATATATATATATATATATATATATATATATATATCACAATTACCGATCATTATTAGATTTTCACATAATTATTATTTTTTTACTGTGATTTGATTAACATTTGTAAAATTAAAATTATATTAATTAATATTAATAAAAGATTTAAAATGTTGTCACTTATTAATTAAAATAATATATATTATAAAAAATTATAATAATATTCATTTATAGTATTATTTACCATAAAATATTGTTATAATAAAATATACTTTTTTATTAACTATTGACTAATTATTTTCTTTTTTAAACCGTTAAATTAATTCGGTAAAAGCAAAAGATAAAATTTGGATAAAAAAAATTAATATTTTCAAAATTTTAATAATATTTCAAGTATTTAATCAATTATAGATTTTATCCTAAATTATAAACTTTAATTTTATATAATTTCAAATTTTCAATTATCTTTAAAATTTTTAAAAAAATATATCCTCATTTTCCTAACGCCAGATTTATATTCTTATTAACCATTGACAAAAAAATATTAGATTTTATCTAAACATAATTACCCTAAAATAAACATTACCTTTTATTCATCATGAATATTTTTATTTATTTTTATTTTTTGTGTTAAGAGACTACTATTTATAGTTGTTTGACCACTTGTTGAATTTAATAAACTATCAAATCATAGATTAAAAAAAATATAATACACATTTTTTTAATGTAAAAGAAGATTTTTTCTTTATATTAAAATTAAAATTATATTAATAACTTAATAAAAGAAAAAAAAATAGAAAATTAAATATATTTTATGTAAAAGAATATTATTTCTTTAAATATTGTGGCTAAATTAAACAAAAAAGTAAATATCAAAATTAATTTTGCATGTTGTTGAAAGAAAAGTCATATTAAGTAGTCAAATTGATTTCAAGGTATATATAACTAAGTTATCATTAACTCCTTTAAATGTTTAGCATTCCATTCAAATTTTAATGATACAGTTTTCTCAAGATCAATCTTTAAAGTATGTTGAAATATATTTTTCAAAATCATTTTTTCTCATAATCAAATTATATGTAATAGTTTCAAGAGTTATGTCGAATGTACATTTCACATACAAATTTTATAAATGACCTAAAAAGTTCTTTCAAGTTGTGTTTAAATGAGAAAATTTCAAAGTTCAGATACTTAAAATTTCAATTGTTTTTATCGAATAATTTAATTTAAATTTCTTAAATTTCAAATGCTTGTTTTTTACCATATAAAAAATGATTTAGTATATTTTTAAATTTTTATATTTGAATATTAAATTTTTTAAAAAATAAATATTGATAAACAAGATTGATAAATAAAATAAAAGATTAGAGAAAAAATAATGAAAAAAAAGAGATAAATAAAATGAATAGAACGAAATAAAAAGAAAGAGAGAAGAGAGAGGATGAGTAAAGAAAAAAAATAAAAAGAGATCAATAAGGAGAGAGGAATATAAAAGGTGAGTGGGAGAAGAAAAAAAAAAATAATTTTTTTTTATATAAAATCTTAAAAGTTTTATTGAGATTGTTAGATAAGTGAATTATATGTATTTTATTAAAAATAAATTTACAAAATCTATTTTTAAGTATAAAAAAATATTAATCGAATACTATTAAATTTTAATAAAAAAATATCTTAATTATATTAATTAAATACTATCACAATTTAACATACTTAAAAGAATATGATAATTTTAATTAAATATCACATAATTTTTTATATTAACATTGAATTTCATAAGATTTTTGTTTATAATATAAAAAATCTTATGAAATTATTTGAAATCATAATTCAATACAATATTTATTTTTATAATTAAAATTTATACCGTGATAAATCAATATCTTAAAAAATATAAATTATATTTTATATTTACAATAAATAATTTAAATATAATATAAGATTAATTTTAACCGTCTAAAATATTTTACAAAAATATTAAAATGTATTCTAGAAATAAAAATAAAAAAGATAAATTAAAAGTCTTTAATATAATTTAATTTTAGAAAGCCCCTAAAAATTTCGAGAACAGTCTTTAAATTTTTGTATGTATAAATGTTATCATTTTAATATTTTGTAATCATTTTAATATAAACATGTGTAAAGGATAAAAAACATTGTGATATAATATTTTTTAAATTTTTTTGAAAACAATATTATAATTGAATTCAAAAGTGAGAACGAAAAAAAAAAATTCAAAGAAATAAGCATTTTAAAAAAAAATCAAACACGGGAAAGTGATAAGAAATCCTGAAAATACTCAGGTGTAAGAATGAATAAAAACAGGCACAATTGTTTATGAAAAATAAAATATTTAATGGATTTAGTTGTATTGTAATGTAGCATTAAAAGGTACTAAAAACCATAAAAAATATAATTTAATAGGCACAACAAGTTTGACTAGAAGAAGAAGGTGGCTTTGCTTGGAACAATGGGACCTAATCTAATCAGCGCCCGCCTTAAACCAACGTCGGTCGCTTTGTCCGCCTCACGTTCCCTCGTTATCCATTCATTGCTCGCCACGTGTACCACATCTTTCAACACGTTAATTCAAAATTAAATTAATTGAACCGCCTCACGATCAAGACTTAAATATCCGCGTCCCCAAAACAAATCTCAGCCGTCAGATTCAGAATCGCTTTTCTCTTTACCTACGCGTTACGCGTTTGGTATACGTATACGGTATACGGTATACGGTATACCCATTCCACACGTGCCAACACTCTCACTTCTCTTTCTACTTTATAAACACCTTTACCCTTCTCTCTTCTCATTCTCTCCTCCTTCTTATCTTCACCCCCAAATAATTTAATTTCCTTTCCTCTGCTTCCATTTTCTTCTAACATGAGCGTTGTCCTTCTTCACCCTCGGGATTCTCTCACCAACGATTCACCTAACCACTTCCAAACCATGAAGCTTTCAAACCCTAAAACCCATCGCTTCCGGAACCGAAAGAAGCGAACCGATTTCGGCCCACAAGAAGCATCCACGAAACCTGAAACCAGCAAGAAGCCCCTGGGCATGGGTCAGGTGAAAATCCTAAAGCGCGGCGAGCAGTTGACCAAAACGACGCCGGATCCACAACCGCAGATGAAAGCCGCGGGTTCGACGGAGAAGGTTGAGGGGTTGTACGCGGGGTATTCTCTACTCGTGGTGTCTCCGTCTCCTAGCTCCGTTCCGTTGCCGGCTTTTATCACTAAGAAGATTGCGGCTGTGAGTGATGCCACAACGGATTTAAGGAAGATGTTACGTTTAGATTTCTCTTAACCTGGTGAAGATTTGTGAAACGAGGATTTGAACTGATGTTTGTAATTGGGGCCTTTAGCTCTCGATCTTCTCTTATTTTTTCAGCGGGAAGGTCGAGGGTCAATCTCTAATTCTGTAGCACTTTGTTCAGATTAGCGTACATACATGTATTTACTGGGATTCGTCTTGTTTCTCTTATGTTCCTTACATATGTCATAGGATAGGTTTCTTTCCTTTCTCTTTACTCAATTACCTTTTTTTAAGTATTTCAGTTTATCATTAGTTGTCTCCTTAAGCTGGGTTATGCTCCCTTAGTAATTGTGTAGGATGTAGGAGCATTTTCCCCTTCTTTGGTGTTTTAGTTTTACGAGTTTCCATCAAATAAAGAGTTGTGTAGTATTTGTATTCTCTTTTTTTCTCTGCATCAATTCGTCTTTTACTTGTGGAACAGAACGGAAACTAGTTTGTTTTGATATTTGATCTTTTTAAAACGAATGTGTTGGATTGAAACGAACGGAGAAGCAAGCTGGAATTGTGGATTGTGATTTGGCACAACTGGGTGCCCAAAAGTGAATGCTTTGGTGATTTTATTATATCAGACTATGAAATGGGTGATAATATGTTCTTCCTGTTTGCGTATACTTTTAATTGGATGCGTGTTATTGTGTGGGTTATAAAAAGTATATGATATTACTAGCTGCCTTTTTTTAATCTTAGATTAATAATGCTTCCCATCAATGTCTTGCATACTTGAAGGAAGCCAATGAATTTTTGCTGAAATCTCCTAGTTCCTGCCACTACCATCGGCAAAGTTCTCACATAAAGGCAGATCATACTTTGGTACAACTCAATTATGTTTCATAAGATTGAGCTCCTAATTAAGTAAAGGCGAAATCAGTTCTAGACCTATGATTTCTGTGATATATGGGTGGATTAACAAAATAAAGTGTGATTTTTATGTGGTTCATTGGTGAAGTAAAAGATACCGATACAAAATTGAACGATTTTGATTTATTTGATGATAATTTTTTTATTAATATATTAATTTTATTTCTTATGGTAAATAATTCTTTTGTCCAAAAAATAAATTCCTCATCACTTCCATTCATCTCCATTCTCAAATCTGTTTGATGATATTGATACTTTCTTTTTTGATTTTATCAACTTCAATGATGACATTGCTTTCAATCTCTTGAGGACTTTGTCCCTCCTTCTCCCTTTGACGACAAATCCCAAGAGATTGACGATGAGATCATCGCCTATAGGGAGTGTTACGGCCTTTTTATAGTGACGTCTTTATCCTCAATAATGACATCTTTGTGTTGGATGCCTAGATGAAGAAGGAGACCTGGTTTGGGTCTAGGACGAAGAAGGAAAAGGTGTGCCACAAAAAGGAAAAAGGTTCAAATACCAAACTCATAACACTTCTTCCTAATGAGTGTCGACTTTGGTGACAATAGCAAACCCTGGCTTCGACGATAAAGTTGTATGATCAAGATCCTTTTGTTCTCTCTTTCTTCATTGAAATCCTATCGGACTCAGTCATCAAGATTATCTACACCTACCACAAGAACCTCACGTTGCCTTTGGGAGGCTCCATTGCCCTTCCTATGCAGCTTGCACTAAGCCCATTGTCATCAACAATCACCACCTCCTTGTCACTTATGAGTGCAACTTCCTCCTCATCTATGCTAGGTTGTCTCAACGACGACAATAGAGAGGTGGTCATCTTCGACTAGTGACTAGTGAGTGCGTTATCACTAAAGTGAAGAGTAAGCAATGATTGCTAAAGTTAAGACTGTACAACTTCTAAAAAAAAAGGAGTTTTTTTTATAGTAATTTTAAATAATTTAAATAAAAGATAAAAAAAGTAATTATTGTTCATTTATCCACCTATTAATAATAGAGTTAATCATTTATATACTGTCGATGTAAAGTTTTTTACATTAGTAAACAATCAGATCTGTTAATAATGCCTTTTTTATTTTAGTTTAATGGCTTAATTGCATTTTTTTATCTCTTAAGTATAACAATTGTGCAATTTTGGTCCCCAATATTTTAATTGAGTAATTTTAGTCCTTAAAAAATTGTAATTGTGTGATTTTAGTCCCTCGATTTTTAATTGAACAATTTTAGTCTCTCAAATATCATGATTATGCAATTTTAGTCTTTCTCATTAAAAATTTAATAATTTTAAAATATATATATATATAATGTTTTAAAATTATACAATTTTTTGCTTATTTAAGTTAACATATAATATTTATATTAATAATATTTATCTAATATTTTTCTGAGCTGATAAAACATTGTATGTATATATATTAAAATTATTAAAATTTTAATGTGAGAGCCTAAAATGACACAATTATGATATTCGAGGGACTAAAATTGTTCAATTAAAAATTAAAAGACCAAAATCACATAATTGTAATCTTTAAGGACTAAAATTACCCAATTAAAACTTTGGGGATCAAAATTGCACAATTGCAATACTTGAGGAATAAAAAATGCAATTAAGCCTAATTTAATTAAATGAGCAAATGACATGACACTATTAACGGATCTGACTGGTTGTCAGCAGTGACAAATCTAGAAACTTTAGATAGTGGGGACAATATTTATTAATATATTTGTAGTATTAAAAATTATACATATAATTTTTAAAAGTATAAATATATATCATAATTATTTTTTACAAGTTTTTATATCTACGATTACAATTAAAGATAAAAATAAATTAGGTCATACTAGATTATATTATAATTTAAAAAATATATATCTTAAGTATGACTTATTTATCTGCCATAAATTTGATTAGAACTACAATCCTAAAAACCTAATTTATAATAATTTAACACTAATAAAAAAATATTAAAAAAAATAAGTTAAATTTTATAAAATTAAGTTTAATCTATTTATGATATAAACATGTATCTAATATGTATTTTTAGATGATAATTTATTTTAAAATATATTTTATAATAAAAAAAAATTTGACAAACATCTAATAAATGAATATCTCCTCCAAATTTATTTTTTATAAATATGATAACTTAAATATATATGTTGCTTTTATTAAAATATAATTTTTATTTTTAAATATAATTTTTTTTAAATAAAGAAAATATGCATGTATCAAATGAAAGTGGGGGCAAGTGCCCCCACTATGGACAACCTTGATCCGTTGCTGGTTGCCAATGTAAAAAAATTGTACACTGACTAGTGGAAAAAAGACTTTTAAAATCGATTATTTTTAACTTTTAAAATCGGTTCCGTAACCGATTTTGAAAGAGCCGATTTTAAAAGTTAGACTTTTAAAATCGATTAAACAACCGATTTTAAAAGTTAACTTTTAAGATTGGTTGTTTTATAATCGATCTCAAAAGTCCGGTCGTGGAAAAAAATTAAACTGGAACGGGTTGTTCCAAAACTGGAACGGGCCATTTCAGTCTGTTCAAAAGGCCTAAAAAGTTTACATTTAGTACGGGCCGTTCTTCTTGCAGCATGGCCCGTTCTCCAGGGAGAACGGCCTATTCTCCTAGTAGAACGGCCCGTTCTCCATGGAAAACGGCTCGTGCTCCTTGGAGAACGACCCGTTCTCCTTGCAGAACAGCCCGTTCTCCAGGGAGTACGACCCGTTCTCCTTGCAGAACGGGCCGTTCCAGGTTCAAAATTTACCCAACCCGAACCTACAACGAAAATAGAGACGAGAAAAACATGAGAAAATGAAAAGAAACACAAGAAGAACATGAGAAGACGAAAATGAAAACGAAAACGATAACGAAATTTACCTTAATGGAGACTTTAGAAAATGAGAGCGTCAAAGATTAAAAAAAGGAATGGAGGGAAAAATTAAAGAAATTGAGAATGAAGGGGAATATAAAAGATTTTTGATGATATATTACATACAAAATCGGTTCTGAAATAACCGATTTTAAAAGTAACTTTTAAAATCAGTTATAAAATAACTGATCTTAAAAGTACTTTTAAGATTGGTTAAATTTTAACCGATCTTAAAAGTGTTTATGTTATTTACAAAATTGCCACCGCGTCACTTTTAAGATCGGTTACCTTGTAACCGATCTTAAAACTCCGATTTTAAATCCAATTTTTGCACTAGTGCAGTGTAAAAAAATTGTACACTGACAATATATAAGTGATTAACTCTTAATAATATGATAAATTTGTCTACCGAAACAATGCCTCAAGTAAAATTCCACTAGATAAGAATTTAGAGAAAAATCATTATTTCGTCAAATATTAAATTTGAATCATTAATATATATTTTGACAACTCTTGGCCACTTTTCTAATGCATTTTTAAAATAAATTTAAGTTATATATATAATTATTTTCAATAAAGACTATAGTTTAATTTAATATAATATTGTTCGATAAATAAATGACATTATTTATTTTATTAATAATATAATTGATAATTAATACTAATAATATTAATAATTACTATTATTAGTAGTATATTAGTAGATAAGTAGATAACTCAATAAATAAAAATATATTAAAAGATAATTAGAAATGTTTCTTTTTTATCTATAAAATATAGAAGTGCATATTAAAAGTAGGGTAGGATAAAAATAAAATAGGATAACATATCGAAAGTAGAATAGGGTAAAATAAAAAATATGATGAGAGTAGAATAAATTTTAATCATATCAAATATTATCATGATGACATTATTATATTATATATTTTATATTTAATGTAAATTAATAAGATATGACATAAATTATATTAAAATAAAAATATTTTCTTAAAATTACATATAAATTTTTAAAAATAAGTTTTAATTATTTAAACTTTTCAAAGTAAAAAAAGTAATTTAAGCTATATTATATAAAAATATTTCTTATTTGTGTAGTTATATATTTTTTAAAATTATATAACTTCTTAAAATTATAATTATTGTTCCTTTAAAATTTATTTGAATAAATTTTTTTCATTATAATATTTAAGTTGATAATATATTTTGAATTTGTGCATGTCAAAATTATTATAATTTTATAAAATAAAATATTGAAGTATATATAATCAATTTTTATATATTAAATATTAACTTTTTATGATGTGACTATTTAAAAAAAAATCAACAAGAGAATTTAAAAAAATAATTTAACTTTAGTTTAATTTTTATTTATTATAATTATTTATAAATTAAATATTAATATTTTAAAAATAAATTATTAATAAATAAAAATCACATTATGTTATGATATAAATTATTTATTATAAATAAATAATATATATGTTTTATGGGGAGTGTTATATTTAAGTCGGTTTTCCTGTGCAGGAACTTTGCGAAGTCTGCAGTTGCCCAACCTTGCAGCACTCATTTCTGCATCTTCGGAATTCAATCGAACTCTTTCAAAAAGCTCAGAACAAACACTCCGTTATATTATTAATCATTTGCCCTAACAAGCTTTCATGGGTTCCAAGAAGAAACACTCTGAAGGCATCGCTTTGTTGTCCATGTACAATGACGATGGAGACGAAGAAATGGAGGACGCTGAAGAAGAAGGTGATGCTGGGATGTTCATGGAATCCAGAGATGCAAGATTTACGGCGGAGGAAGATGCATCCAATAAAACAGGGTTGGATGGTTCCGGTAATGAGGAAGAGAGATCAACTCCGGCAGAGAAGATTAGGGTTGGGGCTTCTACTCCGCAGACAAACACCTTGGTTTCGCCACTGCCGGAGCAATCGAAGAATGCTCGGAGAGGTGCACTTACAATAGTGGATTATGGGCATGACGAAGTGGCAATGTCACCTGAGCCTGAGGTACTCTTTTTCCCTGAACTGGACCCTTTCACCCCTCTTAAGCTACAAAGACATCTTGAATTGTAAATAATTTTTAAATTTGATTGTAAATTATTTTGAATTATATACAATGGGTGTTTCTGATTGCAGGAGGGAGAGATATATGGTAGCGGCAGAGTCATGTTTGGCGACCAGCTTCACGTTAACAATGGTCAGTTTAATATTTGTTCACCAATGAGTTATTCTTATATATGCTAACTGCCAAACAATGATCAATTTGCTTTTTAGCTTCCCACACTTGTTTGCGCTAATAACAAAGGTTAAAAAAGGGATCACTTGGCTAGTTTTTTGGTGTTCAGCAATATAGCCATGCTGTATAATTTTGTCATGCTGCTTATTCCAAATGGAATTGCAGGACTTTAAAAATTCGCTAGTATGTTGTTCTCGTTATGGCTTGATCTTGCTGGCTGACTGATGATAGTGAATGTAATCTTACAGCGTAAGCTACTGGGTAGTCATGGTTATAATTCTATAAATATTTTTTTATAACTAAAATCTATGACATTCCGTATGATATGGGTTGATTCATGAGAAATGTCCCGGTTCATGTTAGAGAAAGCTGGTAGTCCAATAAGTAGTGAGCAGTAAAACTAACGGTGAGTAAAACAAACATGGGAGCTATTGAGCTAGCTGAACCAGTGAATGTTTCGGTCTGGCCTTCCAGTTGTAGTTGATCCAATCAGTCCAGAACCTGCAGTAGTTTAACTAGCATAATCAAGGCCGGTAAAGAGGAAAGTGATTCCCTTATTTTGGTGAAGAAATTCTTTGAGCTTGTCTTCTGTGAACTGCAATTCTGCTTTTCACTTTGTTGGCCATTGACCGAGGGCATCCCTTGTTTTGTCTATCATCATCATATTTGACCTTCTAGTTATGAGTCGAGGGACTTTGTAACATTGAATAGTATAACATAACTCTTGCCAATACTTCTTCCTTGATTGCCTTTCTTACTTTTTGAGGGGAAAGTCAACTAATTGAATTCTCTATTTCCTCTGGAGCGCAATAGAATTCAATTAGTCTTTTAAATGGTGGCTATACCACCACTATAGCAGTGTAGCGTGGCCAAGTGGTTCCTGATCGCTGCAGGGTCCACTATAGCAGAGCAGTACAATGTAGTGCCTATCGTAGGCGAAATAGCAGCTGTAATGTATGTGTTGAGATGCCTTGAATTTATAATTTTGTCCGTTACTATTTTCACTATTATTTGGGTTGTAATGAGGCTGTTATATTTTATCCTTGTTATAAGGCTAAAAGGAATCTGTATCAGATATCTCAATTTATTCAGAAATAAGAAACTCTTGAACTGCCCGTGGATGTAGGTCACACTGACTGAACCACGTAATTTGTGTGTCATCTTCTTTCTCTTCTCTTTCTTTTACATATTGTCATAACAATTGGTATCAAAGCTCTAGGTTACGCTAGGGCCTGATCTGAAGAAATGCAATGTCTTCGTACAAATTTGATATTGATAAATTCAATGGATCGAATGATTTCACTTTGTGGAAATTGAAGATGAAAGCGGTTCTTGTGCATCAGGGTTGCGCTGCAGCACTGGAGGCTGCGGATAAATTACGCATAACTATGACTGATGATGAAAAGAAAGCGATGTTGGAAAAGGCGCACAGTTTGATTCTCTTGAGTTTGACTGATGAGGTTCTGCGAGAGGTAAGTGAAGAGACAACGGCTGCAGGGATGTGGAAGATGTTGGAAGATAAATTCCAGCAGAAATCCCTAACCAATCGGTTGTATCAGAAGCAACGTCTCTATACCTTGCAGATGTCTGAGAATATGTCTGTGAGAGATCATCTTGATAATTTTAACCGAATTATCTTGGACCTACAGAGTATTGGAGTTAAAGTTGATGATGAGGATCTAGCTATTATTTTGTTATGCTCTCTGCCAAAATCATATGAGAATTTTATTGATACTATGTTGTATGGCAGGGATAGTATTACTCTCAACAATGTGAAGGACAACTTACAATCTAAAGAATTGAAGAGAAGAGTAGTCTCTAGTTCTAATGTGGATGATGTAGGTCTGACAGTTAGCAGAGGCAGAAGCATGGAGAGAGGAAATAGTAGCAAGGGTCATACACGCAGTAATTCACTTTCAAAGTCAAAGAAAGTGAGATGTTACAAATGCAAAGAGGTGGGGCACATAAGGAAGAATTGTCCACAACCGAAGAAAGATAGAAATAGTAACGCCAGTGCAGCTGTTGTTCGTTCTAGTTCAATTGTCTTTGGTGAGAGTTCAGATGAAGGAGATGGCGGAGATGTTTTGACTGTTAGTACTACTGGTTTTGCTGATACATGGGTCATGGATATCAGAGCTTCTTATCACATGACTTTTAACAAGAAGCTGTTCAATTCATTTAAAGAATGGAATGGTAGTGTAAAGTTAGGTGATGATGAAGAGCTTGGAGTAAAAGGTAGTGGCGCTGTACAAATAAAAATGTATGATGGCATGGTCAGAAAGTTTGATGCTTGGTATGTTCCTGGCTTACGGAAGAACCTGATTTCTATTGGTACCTTAGATAAACAAGGGTACAGTTTTTCAGGAAATGATGGACAAATTACAGTTTCTAAAGGTGCTCTGGTTGTTATGAAAGGAAAGTTACAACATGGAATTTATGTTATGCTTGACAATTCCTTTCAGGGAACGGTGTCTATATCCCATTCCTTAGAGCAACATGTTGATAATACAAAATTATGGCATTGTAGGTTGGGACATATGAGTGAGCGTGGACTTGCAGTGTTGAGTAAACAAGGACTGTTGGGTGGAGCGGTGACAGGGAAATTGAAGTTCTGTGAATCTTGTGTTATGGGTAAACAACGCAGGCTGAAATTCAGTCACGGTAAGCACACTTCAACCGAAATATTGCAATATGTTCATTCTGATTTATGGGGTCCTTCCCCAGTGCAGTCCCATGGAAGGAGCAAGTATTTTGTGACGTTTATTGATGACTACTCTAGAAAGGTTTGGGTGTATTTTTTGAAGTCCAAGGATGAAGTGTTTGGGCGTTTCAAGGAGTGGAAGACTATGGTTGAGAAACGAACCGGGAAATTAGTCAAGACTCTAAGAACAGATAATGGACTGGAGTTCTGCAATGCATTATTTGATGATTACTGTAAAGAAGCAGGTATAGTCAGGCACCTCACAGTGAGACATACACCACAACAGAATGGCGTTGCTGAACGAATGAATCAAACACTACTTCAGCGTGCTCGGTGCATGCGTTTAAATGCTGGTCTCTCAAAAGAATTCTGGGCTGAAGCAGTTAATACTGCTGCCTATTTGGTGAACAGGTCTCCATCTACTGCAATTGACTTAAAGACTCCTCAGGAGGTATGGTCTGGTAAACCTTCTGATTATTCTGGCTTACGTATATTTGGTTGTCCTGCTTATGCTCATGTTAATGATGGTAAATTAGAGCCTAGGGCAATGAAATGTATATTTCTTGGGTATCCTACGGGTGTCAAAGGATATAGATTATGGTGTACTGAAAATAACAGAACAAAAAAATTTGTTATTAGCAGAGATGTTACTTTTAATGAGTCTGCTATGTTTGGCCAGAAAGAGGAGGTTGAAAATCTTGCAGGAAATAAAAGTACAAATAAGGGAGTTCATCAGAAGGTGGAGTTTGAGGTTGAAGATTCAAATAAAGAAAATTTGAATCCTGTGGAACAATCCAGTAATGTTCAAGAAGAGCCTCAAAGCATAGCAACAAGGAGAACAAGGAGGGAAATCAGAAAACCTACGAGGTATGCAGATGTTACTAATGTTGATACTAACTCTGTTGCATATGCCTTGCTAGTAGGTGAAAATCTTGATTCTGATGAGCCTAAATCCTATAAGGAGGCGATTCAAAGTAAAGAAGCATCGAAATGGCTAATTGCCATGGATGAGGAGATGCAGTCACTTAAGAAAAATCAAACCTGGGAGTTAGTACCATTACCTAGAGGTGTGAAGCTAGTGGGATGCAAATGGGTGTTAAAAAGGAAAGAAGGGATTCCTGGTGTTGAACCATCCAGATTCAAGGCAAGACTTGTGGCAAAAGGTTTTTCACAGAAAGAAGGAATTGACTACCATGAAGTGTTCTCGCCTGTGGTAAAACATAAGACTATTCGAGTTCTGTTGGCTATGGTGAGTGCTTTGGATATGGAGTTAGAGCAGCTTGACGTGAAAACTGCATTCTTGCATGGAAATTTAGAAGAGCAGATTTACATGTCACAGCCAGATGGATTCCTTGAGGCCGGAAAAGAGAACCATGTGTGTTTGCTGAAAAAATCCTTGTATGGTTTAAAACAGAGCCCGAGGCAGTGGTACAAGAGGTTTGATGCTTTTATGATTTCCTATAATTTTGTCCGAAATGAGTTTGATAACTGTGTTTATAGTAGGAAGCTATCAGATGGTTCCTATATATATTTGTTGTTGTATGTGGATGACATGCTAATTGCAGCTAAGAGCAAGACTGATATTGATGCTCTTAAAGCTATGTTGAGCAGTGAGTTTGAGATGAAGGATTTGGGTGCTGCCAAGAAGATTTTAGGAATGGAGATTTGGAGAGACAGGAATGCAGGTCTACTTTATGTATCTCAGAAGAAATACATTGAAAAGTTGTTGCAGTCTTTTCAAATGGAGAATTCTAAGCCTGTTAGGACTCCTTTGGCAACACATTTTAAACTTGATGCTAGCACTCTTCCTAGTACTGATGAAGAAAAGGAGTATATGAATACGGTTCCTTATTCTAGTGCTGTTGGGAGCTTAATGTATGCCATGGTTTGTACAAGACCAGATTTGGCTCATGCTGTGAGTGGTTAGTAGATTTATGAGTAATCCTGGAAAGCCTCACTGGGAGGCTGTGAAGTGGATTATGCGATATTTGAAAGGTACTAGTAATATCTGCTTAGTTTATGGTTCTAATGATATTGGGTCTGGTCTTATTGGCTATGCAGATTCTGACTATGGTGGAGATCTCGTGAGGAGAAGATCTTTGACATGTTATATCTTCACTCTTTATGGTTGTGCTGTAAGTTGGAAAGCAACACTTCAACTTACTATTGCTTTGTCTACCACTGAAGCAGAATACATGTCCTTGACAGAAGGGGTTAAAGAAGGTATATGGTTGCAAGGTCTTATTGATAGTCTGGGTTTGAATGTGCAGAGACGTATACTTTATTGTGATAGTTAAAGTGCTTTGTGTTTGACAAAAAATCCAGTCTATCATGAAAGATCAAAGCATATTGATGTCAGATTGAATTTCATACGAGATGTAATTGAAGAAAAATTGTTCTCCATAGAGAAGATAGCTACTATAGACAATCCAGCAGATATGTTGACTAAACCTTTGTCTTTTGAAAAGTTTAAGCATAGCTTGGACTTGGTGAATGTTCGCATCGCTTGAGATCCTTCGAGGAGAATAGGCAGGAGAGTTGTTCTTGGTTACCGGTGACTTGGGAAAATTCAAGTCAAGGTGGAGAATTGTTGAGATGTCTTGAATTTATAATTTTGTCCGTTACTATTTCCACTATTATTTGGGTTGTAATGAGGCTGTTATATTTTATCCTTGTTATAAGGCTAAAAGGAATATGTATCAGATATCTCTATTCATTCAAAAATAAGAAACTCTTGGACTGCCCGTGGACGTAGGTCACACTGACTGAACCACGTAATTTGTGTGTCATCTTCTTTCTCTTCTCTTTCTTTTACATATTGTCATAACAGTATGTGATGGCAGCAATATCTTTTGATTCCGAAAATAGCCCTCTGAACTCTAAGGTTAGGGCTTGTTTGGTGGGGTCTACCTTTGGGATTTAATTTCTCAAAAGAGTATAATGCTTATAAAATCAATCAAAAAGCTGTCATTTCACACTTTCGTTCTCAAACCAGCCTTCACTATGTATAAGTCTCTCAATCCCCATTTCTGTCGACCCACCACTCTGGTAACTGGTTTCTCACTTTTCCTTCCTGTATTTCCTCTTCTCTGGCAACTGGTTTCCCTGCCTGTTATCTCTGTACATAATCATATTCGGCCTCAGTTTTTGAGAATTTTTATAATATATATATATATATATGTATGTATATAGTATAATCTTTATAAACTATATTTTTATGAACAGCGGCTATCTCACTACCCTCTATCCTGCTATAGTATTTTTGGGACCGACAGCTATGCACCATTATCCAGGATTTAAAACACTGGTTCATGCATAGATGCAATTTTTTTTTCCTGTGGATCAGATTAACATTTGGGTTATTCGATTTTTTTTTCTTTTGAATTACTCCATATACTGTGGTTCTTAATTGAGTTTTTGTGAATGAGTTTGAGCATTAAAAGTGCGTCAATGGTTCTGTTTCTCAACTTGTTATGGTTGCAAATGGCTGTGTAATTATAATTGGGAATAATAACATGCTTATATTCAATTTTCAGAAGATGCTATAGCCTTATTCAATTTATTTGATTGCATTGCTAGCGTTGTAGGTGCATTTCTTTTGCCTTTTAGTACCTTATGGAATATGTTATTGCAGGTGATTTGCTAGACAGAGCACCATTGGGATCAGTCCAAGTTATGACACTTAGCAATCAAGCTAACACTGAGTTCTCTGAGCCACTGAAATCTGATACCATGAACAATGATGCTGTGATCAGATCAGACGATGCAGAACTTGGAGAAGCAGATCAAGATGAGCAAAAATATGTAGATCCATTGGATAAATTTCTTCCTCCCCCACCAAAAGTTAAATGCTCCGAGGAGCTACAAGTAAGTTCTGTTAAAATGGTTCAATTACTATCAATTGTTGAATACCATTTTGATAATTGATACATTATAAAGTAGCCTGCATTGCAGATCCAGACTGGTCTGTTTTGGTCCTTTCCTCTGTTTTCTTTGTTGGTGTCATGTTTATTAGAATCACAATAATCATACAATTCATATCCAATTCAATATGGATTCCTAGAGCCATTGATTCAGATTGTAGGTGTATTAATGTTGACCTTGAATTGCACTCACAATTGTTAGAATTGCAAGAATAGTGAATGTAGGGTCAATCGTACGATTTGTGCATGCCTAGTCACACAAAAAAATGTTGTCGTGTGCGACCCGATTCTTGAAAACATGGTTTAGGGTTTTTTCATTTAGCAAATTTTTGTTTGAGATTGGAGGAAAAGTGACGATCTTTTACTGAGGTTGGAACTTGGAGTTGAACTGAACTTCCCAATCAAGGCTGAGTTACAGTGCTGAAGCTTGAAGATGAGAGGATGGTTGTTGTTTAGGTTCAAGTTTTTCTTTTGGGTAAAAAATAAAAGACAAATAATGGCCCTAAACCTGAGCATCATAGAAGTCATTAGATGAACAATAATAAATGCTCTAAAGCACTGGTGGGCACAGTTGAATGAGGACTAGCTCTATAATGAGCCAAGATGAATTGAATTGATTGAACCAGCGTGATTAATTCATTTGATGGTTAAATGTTTTAATTTAAAAGAATTAAATAATTATGATCATAATTTTTTTTTTAAAACAGAATTTGTTTAGATACTTTTGGTGGAAAAACAGTTCATATTCCTACTGTTTTCTAGGGAAATAATGTCTAGGAAATCTGAATAGGCATAGTAGTTTATCATGCTTTTAGGGAGTTGCATTCTATATTTTATTGCTCCTAAATGTAAACTTAATCAGAGTGATTATAAATATAGTGATACTGCTGAGTGCTTAATCACTCAAGCATTTCTCCAAAACTCAGTCTTTAACCACCTTTAAGGAGAAAAATGTCATAGAAAATATCCTAGCCACACTTGCTCCTACATTTAAGGGACTGAGTTTAGAATTTCATCTTGCAGTTTAAAATTAGTTTACATTAAATTTGCAGGCTTTAAAAAAAAGGAAACTATTGTGTTTGAAATGAAATTGGTTTCGTCTCTACGCTAATATGGATGTCTCTTCTAGTGTTGAGAATGTGGATGTTTGGGGTGCCTACGAGGGGTACAAATGAGTTGATCTACAAATAACTTCCATCCTGCAGTTTCTGGTACAAAACTGACCACTAGCAGTAATTTTTTACACATAGCTGTCATCTTAGAGTTTCTAATACAGATCTGATTTATAAAGCAGTTATTTTCTACAAATAACTGTCCCTAACTCTGTTCCTACCAGCATTGCATTCGTTAATCAAGTTAAATTTTATGTTCTGGGTAGCGGGTAGGATGTTTCATGTTTCTAATTTCTAGCTTTCTCGTCGATGGTTTTGTTGCTTTTAGGCATTGCATTCCTTTGACATCATTGTATTTAACTTAATTTTATGTCATGGCAGAGAAAAATAAATAAATTCCTAGAGTACAAGAAGGCTGGAAAAAGTTTTAATGCAGAAGTTCGCAACAGAAAGGACTATCGAAACCCCGACTTCTTACTGCATGCAGTGAGGTACCAGGATATTGATCAAACAGGGTCGTGCTTCAGTAAAGATGTATTTGACCCTCATGGATATGATCCAAGCGACTTCTATGATGGAATAGGTAGATAAATGCTTCTTCTTTCCATCCTTTTTCTTGTAGATAAATGCTTGCTTCTATGCATTCCTTTTAATTCAGTTGGCTAAAACAAAACAGAAGCTGATATGAGGCGCGAAAGTGAGAGGAAAGAGCAAGAGAAGAAGAAAGCACAGAAGGTTGAATTTATTTCAGGTGGTGCGCAACCAGGAATTATACCTAGTGCTCCTAGGATTAGCATGCCTGTTGCAGGTTCAGAAACCACTTAATTTATTTATGCAGTTGTGAAGCTATTCCTTTGAGCTAGTTTTCAACTCGTCTTTATTCTTATAGTGTTTTCTATTTATTTTTTTGCCATAGGTGCTTCTACTGTGAATGCAAGTGGTTTGCCTTTGGTGCCTCCTACAGCTGATACTATTAATCGTGATGGTAGACAGAATAAAAAATCAAAATGGGACAAGGTATTCATCTAAACAAATGTAATCGCATCTTTAGTGGCATTCTTCATTGTGCTCACAAAATTTTAGTGAATTATAGGTGGATGGTGATCGAAAAAATTCTCTGCCTTCTGCGGGTCTGGATTCTGTATCTACTACTGGAGCTCATGCAGCAATTTTAACTGCTGCTAATGCTGGTGGTGGATACATGCTATTTGCGTAAGTTGATTAACAACTTTGAACTTTCATATGCGTTCTAGTTCTATCTTTTAATTTTTGTTATGCTTTCAATTTCTAAGATTCGATTTTGCTTTGGCATGTTTTTATTGTGAGGACTGTTTGAGGTATGGTAGGCATTTTAGCAATTTGAACATGTCAAATCTACTAAAAATTAGAATCTAAATTAACATATCACTAGTAGTCTGCAGAGACTTCCAAAATTAAATATTGGTTTTGAATAGTCAGTCATCTATACTTGAGAAACACGTCTTTTAGTTTTATTCTTCTGTTCTAGCATTTCCTCGCTGTGATAGAACCATTTTGACTGTGAATGACTTATTTCTTAATTTTATTCATGTATTCTCCTGTTACTCCTAATTGCTGTATCTGAAGTAATTTTTTTAAGTGGCAACTATAGGTTTGACACAAGGAAACTAAGTTGATGTGTCTTTAAGGTCAATGTTACTTAATTGGTGAATAATGTCCATAAGAATTTGATTTTTAACCGAGTCCAATGGTCATGTAGCTGATTTTATTTAGCAAGATAAAGCTATTGTTGTGTGGTTGATGTTATTACATGAAATTGACAGTCAAAATGTCTAGAATATCCTGTTCTGAAAACTGGCAATTAGGTGAAATAGTTGTGTTTTATACAATAAATCTCATAGCATTTTGTTGGACAGGCAACATAAACGGCGAGAGGCAGAGGAGAAAAGATCTAGTGAAAGGTGGTTGGACAGAAAATCGTGAGCCATTCATTGTAGTCTGTAGTATGGAACACCGCTTATAAACAGTAGCTGAGATTTTTCTGCACAACATTTTTGTCGGTTAATTAGCTATGGCAATTATCATAGACACTGTATATTCTCAAAACAGAGAAATATATATATATATATATTTTTTTTTTCTGTTAATTAACTTTGGTAATTTTCATAGACACTGTATAATATATTCTCAAAATTGTAAAGAAATTTCCGGCTCGATTCTAGCTTGCTTTTGGAGAAAAGCTCATTCATATGAGTGGGGTATTAGCCCTGGTACTTGTTTTAAGAAAGTCATTAATATTGATAATTGGCTTTGCACGGGATGTTTGAATTCGCTATAACGGGTACTGATTGTTTCGTTTCTTTTTCAGTGGGGGTTAATTCTTTCCAGCTGCAATATGTGCTACACTGTCAGATTGTACTCAGTTTTGAGTTTTTTTGTTTTTCATGAAAATGGTACTTGTGATATCTTAAAATATCTTAAAACTGATAATTAATTGGTGATTGGAGGAAGTGACTTCTATTGACCACGTACTTTGAGGCCTCTTTGACACACTTAGGCTTTGTTTGGATTTGAAGATGGAAAAGGGGGAGTGGAAAAAGAAAGATTTGAAGAGAAAGTGAGTGGAAAGTGAGGTTGTTTGGATTAAGGAAAAGTGAGTGGAAAGTGTAGAGAAAGTTTGTGAAAGTTTGTGAATGAATTGATTGATGTGATAGATAGAAATAAATTTTTTAATTGATAATTATGTAAGATTACTATTTTGCCCTTAAGTTAAAAAAAATATAATTAATTTAGTTAAAAAATAAATATATAAATTTTAATTAAAAAATTATAAAATATTAATTAAAAATAATTTAATTTAAATATTTACTTTAAATTTAATGATAGATAAAAATTAAAAATTTAATAGATGAATATATAATTTATACTTTTATAGATTAAAAATGAGTATAATATTATTTATTGTAAATAATAATAGTTACAATAAAATTATCTTAATAAGTATAATTTTTAAAAAATAATAAATAATGATAAAAATAATAATAAATATTAGAAAAATAATAAGAATCATAATAAATAATAAT